ATGATCGGCGGTCGACCGCGTATGGCGCGGCGGTCGACCGCGGCTGGCCCAGGTAATAGAGTTTGGCTCTGGATGTTTGGCGGTCGATCGACTGCGTTTTTTCCAGAGACTTTGGCTGAGTTCCCTGGCTTATCGCGGTCGACCGCACATGGCGCTGCGGTCGACCGCGACGCAGTTTTGGGTCTGGGTTCTGTTTCCAGACCCGTTTCGTTTGGGCTTGTTATAAATACCTAGATCTGATTTCTAGGGTTTGAGCAAGCAGGAGGTTTTGAGGTTATGAGAGGGTTTTCTTTGGGCTTCTATTGTAGGAGCATTTGAAGAGATCAAGAGTGAGTTGTTGTGGGTGTTGGTGAGAGATTTATAACCCGATTTTGTTCCTCTTGATTTCTAATAGTGAAAAATCCCCCCTCCTTGCCCCGTGGACATAGGTCATTGCCGAACCACGTTAAAATTGGTGTTTGATTGTTTGTGCTATTGTTTGGTTGTGGTTGTTTATCTCTCTCGGCGGTTGGTTTGGTTTCTCGAGGCACAACATGGGGGAAGATAGGATCAGAGTTGTCCCATCATGTGGTTGGATTGAGATTTATGGGGGAAAAATCCAAAAGATAACATTTATCTCATGCTACAAGTTCAATTGCATGATAGTGAAGTGTCAGCTTATTACTCCTTGCCACACAATATCTACGGATGGTTCCTCTTTTCTTTGTAATAATTGTTAATATACAATTATATATTTAAATCGTTATCATAACATCACAAATTATGTTAAACTCTCATTAGGAGCAAACTTAAAGTTAATTAAAAAAAATTTGATACCACTGCACGCGTCCTAGTTTCGACCAGAGACAATAGACATGTTAGGATATAGAAATATAATCGATCATCATCGTAACTTTATAGTTTTTACGCGGTGGATGGGTCTAGACGATATTCAAAAGAGAGCTCTTGCAAGATTTTTATTTTCTACGCAGCAAGGGATGCGCTTGGTATGGAGAGGGGGCCCAAACCAAAATAGGACGGGCCGGGAGGCACATGAAATGGAGGGGGGAGGGGGCATGAGAAGCAGACATGCACATGGGATAAGGGTTTGGGGTGCATGCCCTGACTCATGAATAAAGTTGAAATCATATATAGATGTTTTGGGGGTACTTTGCATGCATGCCCACGTTGCTCCCCCTCGAGAAACATATCCTATGCCCACCATTAGTTAAATAAATCCGGCAATATTTGTCACTACTGTAATCAGACGTCAATAGTTAGCTAGTAGACTTAAAAGATTTATGCACCGACTTATGTATTGATCCAACAGTTTCCATCTTTTTTTTATTTACTAAATTAATTATAAAGGAAATGACATATCCTATGTTTTTGAGGAATATTTGATATCATCATGATCAACAAGATACATATCCCATAGAAACCTGCTGGCTTTCCCCCCTCTATTCTGATTTAAGCACGGATCAAGCGCATGCAGAGCTAACGAGATGTGGTGTTTGGATCGGAATGGGTCATTTTTTATAAAATATATCTCAAAGAATCAAATAAAATTAGACAAGACCGATGTTGGCCTGTAGCAGGGGGGCTGCTAACTGTATGTGATAGATTGACATGATCAACTGAGATGATCGCGCGAGTACACACACAAGGTCTTTGTACGCTCCCACTCCATGTGATGTTGCAGAAGCTGCAGCAGCCAATCCTGTGATACTCCATCAATCAGGTTGCCAAAGATTGATGAGGATCATACTGGTAAGAACTTTGTTATTTCGAATATATTATTTAATGAAAGGACAATGTTGCAGCAGTGGAAATTTTTTTTTTGTGTGTGTGTGTGTGTGTGTTCCCCTCTAGAAAATAAATGGATTCATGCAGAGTTTGATCTGATGCTCTCCAAATTAGTCAGATATTATATGTATTCTGTGCCTGAGGGATCGATGACAGATATTTGGAACTTCGACAAATTCCTAAGAAATCTGAACATTTTGATCGATTAGCACTAACTAAAACAGTCAGCGTTAGAAATTAAGTTAACTTTGATATTTTAAAAGCTTTTATTTCCGGAAAAGCACCCTAGAGTTTAAAACTTAACTTTGATATCCCATTTTGAAGTGATCTTTAGGGTTTCGTGGTTAATTTCTTCGAACTTTGAGATCTTTTTAGGTCCAAAAAAAAACTTTAGGTATTAGGAAAATGATGTAATTAAACTAGGCGTAACTAGCTAATTAACCCAAAATCTAATGTAACCTCGATTCGGAATCTCTCGTTAATTCTAATCCATCGAAGCTATTAAAAGCACAAAATATATTGGATCCAATATAAGTATATACTTTATGTGTTGTGTGTGAAATTTTTTTCCCTTTTTTTTTTTGGGAGGAACTACTTTTGTGCTGTGTGTTGTCACATCTATATTCACAAGTGGTGTGATGTGGTATCTCAGTTTCTCATTGGCTCATAGTCGTAGTTCATGTCCTGATCTGACCGGCTACTCTCCAATATATGCTTGATGAAACATCTTAGGGTGTGTACGAGAACGGAGAAGAAAGTAGGGTCTAAATGATACTTATTTCATATTAATCCAAATAATGATCGAATCTCTTCTCACCATCAGCCCTGAGATAAATGCGCTGGGATTCTGGAAGCCTTCGGCCAAAGCTCACTGAAAAGGCCCAATTTAATGATGGTAATCAAGAGCTTTTTGCACAAGATGACAGGCGCAATATGTTAGATGGTCAAAAGGGCAAGAAGAATGCATAATAAGGTGGTGGCTTTTGAGAAGTTCTGTTAAAAATGTACTTGCCATTACCCAAAGCTTAAAATAACAAACTTGATTAAACTTGTAATGTTGTATCGTGTTATAAACCACTTTTCTAATCAATCCCTATATAATTTTTTTTTTTTTTTGCAAATCCGCCCTCAACTTTTCATCTTGTCGCTTTCCTCAGACCATCGCCGTGACTAAATTAGTTATACTACTTTAGTTCGTTTGATGATTGGACCCTCATCAACATCAGTAACTTACACAAACTTTGAAACGTTCGGCATCGTGGTCTAAGAAAGAAAACGGGGTGAATTAAAAGTTGAGAGCTAAATATATGTAATATATGTAACATGGAGCTGCCACAAATCAATCTTATAACTTGAGGGCTAATTAGACTTTGCTCTCCTCTTAAAACTTTTTTAAGCTTTGATTTACCAACAAAATCAAGCTAGCTCTTTTCAGATGCTATCTAAATTATTCTCAAAAGGCTATCTAGGCAATTTAATACATGCCTAAATATTCTATATCAGCTTTGACAGATTTCTCACTTGAGTAGCTTGCAGTGCCCTAGTTGCGGTAGGAACCTTTACTTGCATATATAAAAGAGAGACTCTTGATCAGAAATAACAACTAAGCTTGAAAAAAATAGTAAGATACCAAGACTAGGGCCCAGACTCAACCAGCTACAAACTCATACAACTATAAATATCAGCTACAAACAGCAAGAAAAAAAAAGATACACATTCTCCCCTTCTCCCTCACAAAATGCAAATTTAAAACCCTTAAGCATCACTCCAAGCAGCAAACATGGGCATATGAGCCATAGAGATCGCAGTCCTAATCTGTGTCGATGGCATCCATGAACCAAGACTAGGACTCGAACCAACGTTAAACTGAGGCTCACCCTTTGAATAAACTACTGACAACCCGTTTCGATCAGGGCTGCCTTCTCTCGAGCTATTCAAGCTCGTCACAAGTGAAGATGGATTCGAAATGTGAGTTCCCGCCATTTTTCCAGACTCATCAATTCCCTGCACATAATTAACAGTCTCCATCCCGATAAAGCCGTGAAAAGCTACAGAAACTGGCTGATCTTGATCCACCATTGATTCGGAGTTTTGCAGCGTTTGAGTCGGTGATTCATAGAGCGCCATTTTCCAATCTGAGCTTGTGCTGTTGTTGTTGCTTTCAGTAGTGGTGGTGTTGTTGACAATGTCAGCTTCTATAGATTTGACTCTGCGAGCATTTTCGCCAGAGAGGAGGGTATTGCTTGCCATGATTTTTTCTACGTCGTATCTTGTTATGTCGAAGTTTGTGACTGCACTTGCCCCTCGAAATTTTATGGCAGCTACATCATAGGCTTCGGCTGCCTCCTCTTGTGTACCTGAAGTTAATAATATATCATCGGTCGTAAGCACAGACGGTCGCAGATACACTGTCGTCGAGTGGTGTCACAGGACACCTCCGGATCGCTCAAATATTTTCATTTATTTTTATTCTTGTTTAAAGACACCATTAGGATTAGGGTAAGGGTTGGTTCAATTTCTATAAAAAAATAGCCAATATATGATTTTTCATGTATTTCAATGAAATTTGTAGGAAGAGTTTTATAGAGTCTCAAAAAAGTGGTGCTTTCTTGTTTTATAACTAGATTTTTGTTGGGTTCAAAATATGAAAAGAGGAAGCCGACTTTGTAGAAAATGGGTTGAGAAGTGAAAAAGGGTAAGCTTTGTAATTATTATTTAATTCAACATGTCAGATTTCTAGGCAATTTTAGCCCATATGGTATGATGATCAGCAAGTTGATTTCTATAAAATAACACCATTTTCTCTACTTTGTGGAAACCTTTTCTATAAAACTGTGGTGAACCAAGCAATGCTTTAAGAAAACTCCAAAAGTCAATTAATAACGAAACTGCCACTGTTTCCTAAAAAAATGGTGAACCAAACAACCCCTGAGACACCACCAAGGAGAATGAATAACTTTTAATGAGACAAAATCCTGGATCCACAATTACGCACAAGGCTCCCCGCATGAAGAACACTAATTAGACAAAGACGATTAATTAAATGCAAAGCCCATTTGTTTGCCCCCTATTTTGATTTGAGACGTGAAAACAAAAGGCCATGTTCGATTACTTTTAAAAACAAAAGCTTCATAGCAAGTGAGTTGTAAGCCCTATAAAAGGCTAACTGAATGGAAAAGGTTTTGCTTGGGAAGCATGCCCCTAAAAGAAATTTTTTGAATTTTGAATTGACGACATTGTGGTCAAATTAACAGCAGTCCTAAAAGAATGTATGAGCTTCATTATTTAGGTTTGAAGTTGCGAAATTTCTCTTGAAGTTGGATAGTTTCTTAATTTCTGGCGAAAAAATAGGTATGTCCTTGAGCAAATGATAAAAGGGCCTTAATTAGTATAAAGGGGTACGAATCTATGTCAGATTTTGAATTTAGGCTACTTTTGGACAAGATATAAGACATTATAAGGTTTCTATCTGTGTTTATATAAGCGATAATTATCCGACTAAACTATAAACTAGAAGCATGAGTTCAGAAAATTACTGAAGGTTCCGAGATAAAGATCTTTGTTCCCAGCAACTCTCCCTATGCGAGCTTGCCATCTGCCATGCTGATGATGTCTGAAATGGGAAGGAACAAAATTTTCAGAAAAATATTCTAGAAATATATTGCCAAAACTTAGTTCAGTGTCTGTAACACCAAAAAAGGGACCTTGTTACTCCTCGATATATCGATGCGCCTCGAGAAAACCCACTACTTTTTCTGCAATCATGGCCCAAATCAAATTAGTTCAATGTCTAATAATGTATACAAAACCTATAGGAAATCTTGTGTACCTTCTTAAATGAGCAACATATTCCTGCCTGCTCATGTTCTTCATTTCTTCGAGTTCTTGGTTGTAATTCTCCAGCTACAATATAAAGCTCATCTTTCAGTCCAAGACTATAAAATTATAACCGAAAAAATAGTAATGAGAAAGATCATACAGGGAAGTTGATATGAGTTGAAGGCCCCCAATATTTGAGTGCAGCCAAGTCATAAGCTCTTGCTGCCTTCTCTTCCATATCATAACCCCCTTAAATAAATAAATAAATAAATTTCAAACAACAACATATTACTATGGCTCTCCACAATAAAATAAATATTGAATGTGGGTTTTGAGTGAAGGAAACAAGAAACATACCGAGATAAACTGCAGCGTTGTGTTTGATCGCACCAAAGTAATCCAAAGAAGAAATCAATCACATACAGTAAGCAAATCATACTAACGATGAAATTTTGAACTTAATTTGAAATAAAAATTTTGTTTTACTCCTCCTAACCTTGCCTTCCTTTTCTAGTTTGCCCTTCTTTTTTGCAGCTATTATCCCAAAGGTGAGCTTCATATCTACCAGTCCACCTGTGCCTAAAATACAAGCAAGAAATTACAAATTTTAGGAAATTAAAGAGCAAATTAAAAACACCCAAATGCTTAAAAAATACTAAATTTGTTGATAATGCTAACCTTGTAACTCCCCTGAACTGTGAAGTTCTCTGCCCAAAAGTATCAATGGACTTCCTATGAACCGGCTGCTTCTGCCCCCCTTTCCCATTTCCCCTCTTCTTTGCTACTACTACATCCAAAGGCATGGCCTCAGCAGCAACAGCAGCAACTCCAGAGTGATCAGAGGCCACGCTATGCTGAGTAGCAGCAACATAGCTTGACTGAGAACCTGGGCTCATTGACAAACTCAAGGAGTGCAGGTCTCCATAGCCCATTCCCCCAACTGAGGCCCAGTTCTTGATGGAGGAAGAAAACCCATCATCTTCTCCCCCCAGTTCTTGATGATGATGATGATACATGTGCTGAAGCGGATGGAAGTACTGCTGCTGGGTCTGGAGGAGATCAAGAGCCTCCTGGTTTTGGCTGTAATACATGGTCGAAGCTGATGCTGATGTTGCTGTTGTTGTTGTTTCTCTGTCATTTCCCCCATACTGATGATGGGCCCCAATGTTGGGACCACTGCAGCCCAAGAAGTCTTCTAGTTTTGGAGATTGAGATTGCACCATACCTTCAACAAGTAAATAAATAAATAAAACACAAAACTTAACAAGGAATGAAGGAAACATACAAAAGATCTGGATTGGTTCACTTTAGGTTTTTTTTTTCCTTTTTTTTTCTTTGTGGGGGGTGGGGAGGGGGAGGAAAAGATCGAAAAACCTTGGTGTTGTGATCTGCTGAGGGCTTCCATGATGCAAAGAGAGCCATCAGATTTGATGGGCATGGCTGATAACTGAGAGTAGAGACCCGCAGTGATATTATCTTCCTCATAGTTGCAGAACCCAGATGGAGATAGGAAAATGCTGCTGCAGTTTGCTACCGTTTCTGCGTTTGGGACAGAGGAAGAGGAAGGAGATGGCTGATGATGCTGATGATGGTGGTGGTCGGACTCCGAGGATAGCTCCATATTAATCTGAGGGGAAAGAGAGAAGCCCAACCAGTTGTTACCGTTATTGTTGTTGTTGTCCATAGATTTCATAGCTCTTCGTTTCTCTTAACGCTCGTATGAGATTCTATATAACAAGACCCAAAGTCTTTCCCTCCCTCTATAAACTATATAAGCATAAAGAGTGAGCTCCACCACTCTCCTTTGAATTCCATGGGGATCTGTGTCCTGAGAAAGACCATGGCTTTTGCTTTCTCTCTCTCTCTCTCTCTCAATCTTTTTCTCCCCCGCTTCTTTTTCTTAGGACTCTCTTAAATCCTCTTAGTTATTAGTATGTTAATGCTGAAGAAAGCTCAGAGCTTTATCCATAAGGAGAACTCTGGGGTGGAGAGGAGAGGAGAGGGAGTAATGGTGAGGTCTTCCAATTTGAGGAGAAGCCTCTTCAAATATGCAAGCTATTGGTCAGCTGGCTAAAACTATAACAAGACTGTCTCCTTTATTTCCATCAGTCTCATGGTCGTATGTTAGAGAGAGAAAGAGAGAGAGAGAGAGAGGACTACCGTCCCATTAGTCACTTCACAAAAACAGTACTAGCTAGCTCCGTACTATAGCCCTTCAGAGCAAACTAAACGACGGATCTTAAATTAATTAATAAATTTATATATGTTGTATGTATCCGGCTTGTGCCCATCCAATTCCAATGACCCGTGTTCATTTCAAAACTCAAACGCCACGGAGAGTACAGAGGGAGTGTACGTGTGCGGGTACGTATTTATGTATGTATTAACTTAGTTGATATCGATGTATCATAACGAAGTTGTAATGTAAGCAAAAGTTGCTAAAAACTTGCATGTTCATACGTAAACCTTATTCTCTTTTGAGGCTAGTCAAAGTGCTGCCTGCCGCGGACAAAAAAAAAAAGTGGGATGTGGGTTTATTCTCTTTTGAGGCTAGTCAAAGTGCTGCCTGCCGCGGACAAAAAAAAAAAGTGGGATGTGGGTCTCCATGATAAGCTTTGATACGTTCCTGCAATGATGAGGCGAGGCTAAGGGCCCAAAACCATGGAAAAAAAAATATTCAATAGTAAAAATAATACAAATATACAACCACCTTCCTACTATTTTATTACCATCATTATCCTGCATGCGATGTGTAGGAAATATAATAATAATACCTGGTAGAGGACTGTTCCTAAAGTTTGATTGAGAATCTATCAAAAACTCCAATTTTAATCCTGGACGCAATACTTTATTACTACAATAATTTTTTTTAAAGTTTAGATGGCTGGTATCATTGGCATGAGATTCCAAGGGCCCCCACACGATATCCATATAAAATGTTCGTAAGGATCTTGTAGCACGGAATGTGCTTGATTTTTCTTTTATGGACAAAGACACGTTATATAGAATTATTTAGCGAAGGCTTTTGGTGACGCTAACTGAGATTTGCTTTCCTTGGTTGGTAATTAGGATGCTAACTGCAACTAAAGGCCCATTAAGCCCCCAATTAACTTTTTGTCTGACAAAACCAAGATGTAATGAGCAATATGCGTAGCGCCTTCCTTTAAAAGACTCCTTTGAAAAAGAAAAAAAAAAACCCTCCCCACAAAAAAAAAAAATTCCGGTTTTGTTATTTTTATAGAGATTTAAGGCTCAACAGGGTTTTGAATAGGGCATGTGTGCTGGACACAGATGTGCACGGTCCTCATAGGAGAAAATTTCTTGCAGGAATGATTTGGTATCCAAATGATTAGACAAGTGAAGTTGGGAGGAACTAAATAGGGTATAACGATAAGCTAGACTCTTAATACAATTTTCATCGCTTTGATTATTAATTATAATGATGAGAGAGACCACCAACTACATATGATACATCAATTCTTTTGGTTGGTTCTTAGAATAGCGGCTCAATTTATAGCAATACTCATCGTTTTCCTTTTCCTTCCACATTTTTTATATGAGAATACATTGCTAATTAGATTTGATGGTGTCATCATGTTCTAACTCTTTTTTTCTCTTGCAATAGTCTCTCCACATCCATTAACAAATGATGTTCTCATGGTCGATCGTTTCCTCTCCAACGAACTGAGTTCCCTATCAACGAAGCTCCCTTCACTCCAAACTCGACAACCAAAAACAATTTCAACAACAATGACGTTCTCATGGTCGATGAAACCAAGATCTAGTCTCTTTTAGCATACGTTCCTAGAATCAAAACTTGTAGTGTGTGTTTTTTACCAAAAAAGAAAGCAATTATGATCTTTCAAATATATCAACAAATTGTGAGCTTTTGACTGTAACATAGTTATAACTGTGAAAACAGCGAAGGAATTGAGAAAAAGAATTGAGAAAAACGTGAAGAATAAGCAAGACAGGGTTCACCATACCCTGGTGGTGTATGCCACACCCTTGTGTGGCAAGACAGGCTCCACCACACCCTGGTGTGGTAGATGTTAGATGTAGGTGCCCTGCAGGCAATTATTGTATATTGTAACAGGACCTATATGTATATAACATCCCATCTTGTTCGAAATGATAGTATGTTATTTTGGTCAGATTGTATCTGATGTTCTAATATATACAAAGATTAATGTCTTAGAATAAATACTAGACTAATCACGACATTCGGTAGTGATCGTACATGAAGAGATTCTGATTAGTCGGTAAACGTATATTCTAAAATTGTTCTAGTTGATGAAGTGTTGAGATAGGACATCATACTTTTGGTTTAGACTTAGTGTATGCTTTATTTTCCTTTTGAAGGAGATATCAATCTCTTAGATCATTGATGTGAAGACATCAAGATACATTATAAAGGTGACTCATTAGTGAATGAGTTGACTGAGGACTCGCCAGAAACATCTAGTTGGTAATATACTTAACTGTCAAATAGAAGTTCTCAAGTGATTATGTACATAGTAGTCTCTTGACCTGCAGGCATGAGTGCAAATATCTTATATGTCAGTAAAGATGTATTTAGACTTTTACCTAACCACAGTCTTATTGAATGTGGCATAACGGTTCTTGTTGGGTACATCTCGAGACATAAGTAGATATTGAGATGCCAAGAAGGGATTCGTCTCTCCCAGTATAGGGGTTGATGTCATAGAGATTGTTTGAATATAACTATAGCCTGGAAATCCTTTGGCCAAGGTGAATAAGATAAACTGAAGGTCAGTTTGATCTTATAGGTTATGAGTTTAATAATAATAAAAACTAATGAAGCTATTACGGGTTTGACAGTTTCCATACCCTAAGGCTCAATAGTTTGACATGGTTTGACGAAGAGACCGGACTGTACGGTATTATCATTGAGTGGTCCTGATAAAATTGGAATAAGCATCTTGCAGCCTTTATCACAACTTATACCGGTGGTCTTCATGTGTAGCTAGCACCTCTGTTGTACTTATGGATATGATCCACTACCGAGTTTTTTAAGTTGGGCCCTAGAGTCACACAAGCGCCGTACTTGAATCCTATGAAACACAATTTATGGAGTGATGCGTATGATTGATACGCATATAATTGATTCTTCCGGATACACATAAACGGTTATGTATATCGATAAAATCGGAATGCTATGTGCTTAGGAATGAATTCCAGTATTTTTCCCATAAAGTTAACTTTAGTCAACTAGTTGACTTTTTTGGTCAACAGTTTAGTTTGTGTCAACTCTTGATTTATTTGGTCATATAGTGACTAATTAGTTAAAGATTGAAATAATACTATATACCGTATTATGAAATACTGTATTAGTGATAATAATTTGGTATTCTCATTTATGAAATACACATACCATGTATAATGAGTCCATGAGATGAGTCACTAGTGGTATGGTTTGAGCACATGGTTTATTAGCACATGGTTTTGAAATGTAATGATTCATAAGATGATTCATTGCATGACTCACTTGATTAATCATTAATTTTGGATGATTCATTGCATGACTCATAGGATGAGTCATTCATATCATGAACACATTTCACTCTATAAATATGAGCTCTTTTTCTTATGGAAAGGTTAATGAAAAATTGGCTAAGTGTTTTTTCCATAAGAGAATAAAAGAGAGCTCTCCTCTTACTAAACTTTAGCAATCTTTGAGCAAGAGGAAGTAGTAGGATTTTAAGAACCCCGGGGTGGATATCTTGCCTTGTGTCTTAAGAAGACTCCCATTTTATCAAGCTCACTTGAAGACTTGGAGATCCACTACAAGGAGATTTTCTACTACAAGGAGCAAGAGCTAGGGGTTATTCGATCTTCCATCGAATCACGCTACGAAAGTATGACTTTCTAACTCTTGTATGCTCACTTAATAATAAGGATCATGTTAGATTTAATTAGACGATCCATATGAATATTTCATGCTCTCTACATGCTTAGTATTTTTGTACATACATGTCTTCCGCTGTGTATTATGCATGTAGACATAGCACGATTTCCTTCATGGTATCAGAGCTATGGTTCTATCTAATTGAATCTTAACATGTACATCTAACTCATGGAGGACCTTGTTCTTGCTTCTAATTTCTAGTTTACATGAAACTAGTTAATTAATTCAAGTTATTTTATAAAATAATTAATTACAACTAGTGTAGTTGTATGTTAGAAGCTTGTTAGTCTTTTTTGAGTTTGGATAATCCTTATGCTATCTAGTTTCCAATATGTTGCATAACTAGATAGATGCATATTTCTTAATGTTGATTAAGTTATATGATTTATCATCTTGCATGGATGTTATGTTTATGGATGGTAGTGGACAACTATTCTCTTGTATGTTTTGTATTGATGTAATAAAGTTAGAAATGTAATAATTATTTACGACCTCTTCCCTCCCCGAGCATGGGCTACGCCTACGGGTTTAGGCACTTGCTCACCGATCATGGGCTACGCCTACGGGTATAGGCCCTTGTTCGGGTGTGGGGGGGTATGGTTGCTTAGTTTAGTTATTTCATTTATAGCTTTTGCTTTATATTTAATGCAATATTATTACCCATCCTACGAGATGGTTTTTCCATTATAAATGGGGCTTGCACGTCCTATGTTTATATGATTGTAATAATACAGAGTTTGCAAGGGAACAAGCACCGCAAGGAGTTGCATATGGCTTGCTAAAATGTAATTAGTGTAGTTGCATTTTATTTTCTTTAGTTGTCCACTACCATTCTATATAAGTTTTACATTACATATGTTGATATGTTGGTTGTGCCCCAAATTGTAGATGTCAATACAATTGGGTGCTATTTTTTGCAAAGTTTATATCTCTATCTCACTAGAGAATAGTTTTTATTATAAAAACTTATTTTTTAAAACTTTGTGAGACATGGCAATAAGAGTTTATTGACCATAGAGTGGTGAGATCGACATTAACATAGTGTTAGTGTGAAAGATAAATAAACCTAAAGCAGTTAAAAGAGATGTATTTAGAATGAGCTTTTAACTAGTGTCAAGGAAAGTAATTATG